GGGGGGGGGGGGGGGGGGGGGGGGGGGGGGGGGCGCGGCGGCGCGTGCCCGCAGCTGTATGCTAATGGCCGCCCCGCCCCGCGCTCCCGACCCCCGGCCCCCCTCCCCTCTCTTTGTCCCCTCCTTCCTCCCCCCGCCCCCCCCGCCGCCCCTTTGTGCCGGCTCCGCGCAGCTTTATGCTAATGCCCGGCACAAAGGCGGCCGCGGGGGGCTCGGGGGGGCCGAGCGCGTGCCGCCCGCGTGCCTCCCTCGGGGGGACGGGGAGGGGAGGGGGAGGAGAAGGGAGAGGGGGGGAACAGGGGGTGGGAGGTGGGGAGGGGGGGGTCCCCGCCGGCTGCTCGCCGCCCCCCCGCCGCGCCGCCACCTGCGGGGCCGGGGGACAAAGGGGCGCGGGGCGGGCACCGGCGGCGGCGGGGGAGCGGGCGCGGCGCTAACAGGTGGCGGCCCGGCCTCCCGCTCGGCGACGCCCGCGGCCCGGCGGCCGCGGCCCCGCGCCTTCGAGCCGCGAGCGGGGAAAGAAAGAGCGCGGCCGGCGCCCGCAGCGGCCCCGCGCGCACAAAGGGCCACGCGTGCCGGGGGCGGGCCGGGCGTGTGCCGGCCGCGGGGCTCAGGTGCCGCCGCCCCGCCCGCCGCCGCCGCTGATTGGCCGCGCCCGCCGCCGCCGGGCCGAACAATGGCCCCGGCCCTCTTAAAGGCGGCGGCGGCGGCGGGCAGGAGGAGGGAGGGAGCGCCGCTCGCCGCCGCCGGGCGCGGACCGCCCGCCCGAAGATGCCCCGCGGTTTCCTGGTGAAGCGCAGCCGGCGGCCCACGCCCGTGTCCTACCGGGTCCGCGCCCCTCCGCCCGCCGCTCCGCCGCCGCCTCCCCCTCCTCCCCCGCCGCCGCCGCCTCCTCCTCCCGTGCCCTTCGGGACGCCCGATGGCCCCGTGCAGGCGCTGCGCAGCCCCACGCGGCCCGTCAGCCGCGACGCGCTGCTGGAGCGCGGCTTCAGCCTGGGCTCGCCCGTCTCGGCCGAGTCGTTCCCCGCGCCCGCCGTGCCCAGCAGCATGGACCCGCTGCTGCTCGGCCCCGCCGAGCTCAAGCTCTGGGCCGCCCGGCCGCCCCCCAACCCCAGCGGCGCCGGCGGCGGCGGCGCTCCGGCCGCCAAGCGTCCCGCCGAGCCCGGCCGGCAGAAGGCCGCGGCCGGCAAGAAGGCGAAGGCGATCCGCAAGCTGACCTTCGAGGACGAGGTGACCACGTCCCCGGTGCTGGGGCTGCGCATCAAGGAGGGCCCGGTGGAGGCGCCGGCGCGGCGCGGGGGCTGCGCGCGGCCGCTGGGCGAGTTCATCTGCCAGCTCTGCAAGGAGGAGTACGGGGATCCCTTCGCGCTGGCGCAGCACCGCTGCTCGCGCATCGTCCGCGTGGAGTACCGCTGCCCCGAGTGCGACAAGGTCTTCTCCTGCCCCGCCAACCTCGCCTCGCACCGCCGCTGGCACAAACCGCGGCCCCCCGCCAAGAGCGGCCCCGAGGCGGCGGAGCCCCCCAAGGAGGCGGCGGCGGCGGCGGCGGAGCGGGACACGCCGAGCCCCGGCGGCGCTTCGGAGGCCGGCTCCGAGGAGGGGCTGTTCGAGTGCCCGCGCTGCGCCCGTCGGTTCCGGCGGCAGGCCTACCTAAGGAAGCACCTGCTGGGCCACCCCGCCGCGCCCGGCCCGGCGCCCGAACCCGCGGCGGAGCCCGCCGAGCCCCGGCCGTGCCCGGTGTGCGGGGAGAGCTTCCCCAGCAAGAGCAGCCAGGAGCGGCACCTGCGGCTGCTGCACGCCGCGCAGCTCTTCCCCTGCAAGTACTGCCCCGCCACCTTCTACAGCTCGCCCGGCCTCACGCGGCACATCAACAAGTGCCACCCGTCCGAGAACAGGCAGGTGGTGCTGCTGCAGGTGCCGCTGCGGCCGCACTGCTGAGCCGCGGACTGCGCCCCGCGTCGCCCCCCCCGCCCCGCCCCGGCCGCTTGGGTTGCGCTCCGCTCCGCTCGAGGACGAAGGAGAGGCGAGGCTTCGGTCGGCGCAGCGCCGGCGCCTTCGCTCCGCTCCGGGACGCGTAGAACTGCCTTAACTCGTGCCGTGCCCGCGCCGCGCCGTCTGTATATGTTGGGTCGAGTCCTCGCGTTATTATTTATTCCTTATTTATTTATATTAATGATGAAGATGGATATTATTTGATCGCAGATGCTCTAACGCGCTTTTTTTATTCCCCCCCCCCCCACCTTCCTCCCCCGGCTCCACCATCTCCCTGTGATCTCTTTTTTTTTTTTCTTTTTTTTTTCTTTCTTTTTTTTCTATAAAGGTTTTAACTTTTATACCTGGAAATAAACCACGTGACCTTAACCCGTCCGCCCGCGCCGCCGACAGCTCTCACTCCTAGATGCAATCTCTTTTTCTACACACATTATTTTCGTACCTGTTAGCTATTTATAGAGTTGCTTCGATAGGACTGTTTCGACTGTATAATTATTTACTATTCAAATAAAAGTATTTTCCAATTCACACCTGCCTTCTGCCTGCCCGCTGCGCTCGGCTGCCTGCCTTACGGAGTGATGGAGGGTGGGAGAAGGAAGGAGCGCAGGGCTGCTCGGCTTGGAGGTGCCTGGGGCTGTTGTGTCCCACGGTGTGGGGCAGGGATGCCCTCACTGAGCTTTGCTGTGGCTGTTGGGGAGAGTGGAGTTTGTGTGCAGCAGCTGTGCGGGCGAAAAAGAGTTGCCGTCGTTGCTTTTTGGTTTGGGTTTCCTTGTAGGGTTGGGCCAAAAAGTGCTAAAAAGCACCGAAAGCAGCGGGCTGCCGTGCTGTGCTTCCTAGGAAACAGAGGGGCTGACGTCAGGTCTGGGCGAAGCTGTCATAGCTGATGATCTGCAGAGGAGAACGTGGCCCAGCAGCACCCAAAGTGCGGGCGGCGGGATGGGGCTGGCGAGTTTTGCTTTGCTCTGGGGCTGCCTGCCCTGTGCTGCTTCCCTTGGGCAGCCACGATCCTGGAGCTCCTCGAGGAGAAGGAGCTGACCCCGTGCCGAAGCCCTGCTGGGCACTGAGGCCCCTCGGTGAGGCCTGAAGGCCACCCATCTTGGGGCAGCATCCCATCCTGCGGCACCATCCAACCAAAATAGCTGCTTCGTGCTGCTGCTGGCTTCCCAATAGCCAAGAAAACATGTTCCTCGTTTGGTAGGAGAGAGATAAAATCAGATCAACTGCTGTGGTTGGTAGGGAAATGTCGAGGTAAAGCTCAGCTGCTGTGCTGGATGCAGGGGGATGTGCTGGTAGGGGCTGGTGTTTGGGGAGCAGCACGGAGAGGGGCAACTTTAGGGTTTGGAGAAGTGAGTTTCTGCCACAGATCCCCCCCAAAACCGGGGTTTGCCCCTTGTGAGCCCCACACGATGTGGCCCCGCAGCCCCGGGGAGCACCAGGTGTTTCCTTCCCGGTGCCATCTCTTCACCACCCGGCAGCCAGGAGCGGCCGGCGCTGTGCAAACAAAGCCTCCTGTCAGCTAACAAATCAATCTGCTGAGGGCTCGCAGCTCAGCTAGAGAGAACAGGTTTGGGCGCATCAGAAAATGCTGATCCCACCTGAAAGGCAATTTCCCATTTTTGAGGCAGTGGGAGCGCAGGTACGGAGGCTGTGCTGTGTGCACGGCCCGATCTGTTTGCCTGTTGTGCAGAAGGCTGGATCCGGCCCCTGTCGGAGCGCACAAAGAGCTGAACACATGGTCTGAAATGGACTGTTTGCAAACTGAAAAGAAGCGGGGAGGTTAATTATGGGAACCTTCAGGGTGCTGAGAAACGCAGCTCCAACACCATCAGTGTTGTGTGGGCGATGCGCCGCGCAGCTCTCCCCACGGCGCCGTCAGCGCGGGCGGCTGATGGGGGAATAGCTGAGATTCTCTGCTCTGCCACTGCTCAGTGTGTTTCTTTTAGCAGTGCTGGGACCAGCAGCCGTTCCCACAGCCGTTGGCTGCCCTGCCGGGAGGCACACTGGGAGCAGCACTGGGCGCAATGGTTGCTGAAAGGAGGGAGATGGGAAGCAGAAAATCATCCAGAAGTGGGCCCACAGAACTTTGCCTTTGGATTTCCTTTCCTCCTCCTAAACCTGCTGATAATAAATGAGTGGAAAAGCAGCTGCAGGGCTGTCGGACATTCCTGCTGTTATGGCAGCATCCTGCAGTGCTGGCAATGCATGGCCCTGTGCATGGGGAGTCGTGATGTGGGAGCAGGCATCAAAACCTGAGACTGAATGTCACAGCTTGGCATCGGGTGTTGAAACATAGGTCCGGGTTAGGGTTAGGGTTATGAGTGAGGTTTAGGATTAGGACTTGGGGTCAGTGTTAATGGTGGGGTCACCTGGTTCCAACCCCCGGCTGTGGCCATGGTTGCCACCCACTAGATCAGGTTGCTTATCGTATATACTGTTACATGGTACATACAATATATATGTTACATATACACACAATATACAGTGTGCATATACAATTGATGATATTTTCATGTTTCACATGACACAGCTGATGTGCTCTATGACATCCCATAGGCTGTCCCTCCCGGCGGTGGCAGCGTGATGCTGGGTGCAGCACTGGGGCGATGCTGTGCTCCCACTGCCCAGCTGATGGACACGGTAAGGTGTGCAAACGGGACCAGTGCAGACTCTCTCTGGAGCCCTTAGGATTAATTCTCTATTTCAGAGAGAATAATTTAAGTGAGAACTTCAGAAAAAGAGATATCTCAAAGCAGCTTTTCCCACTGCCAAATAATCCCGTATCATTCCCGCTGGCATAAGCGGGTGTTAATGCCTAAGCACCCCTGACATAATTATGACTGAGCACACAAACCCCCTTCATTTTCTGAAGCGATGTCTCCGCAGAGCAGGAAATCGCCGTTAGAAAGGTTTTGTTTCTAATGCCCATGCAAATTCCCAGCAATGAGGCATTACACGGTTTAGGAAGGGCAGCCTTGTCATCGCCCGTCTCCTGCAATGAATGGTATAGAAGTAATGTCTTCTGGGGCTTGGTAATGCTCTGTAATTACTATTAGTGAGAGCTTCCAAGCCCCTTCCGAAGAAGCCAGCGATGGTGCTGTCACTGATGCTGAGGTCCCTTCTCACCGTTCTGTGATCCTATGAGAAACAAAACCTCTCCTTTAGGTGGTACAGAGACACACAAACACATTTCTGTGATCAATTTTTATTCGCTAGAAGAGGTGAGAATCCTCTGAGTTAGCTGTCCCTAAGCCATACAGAAGTAACGTTCAGTAGCAGCTCTGCAGGTCTCAGCCCAGCAAAGCCCTCCCTGTTCTCCCCCAGATGCCCTGGCTGGGATGGCAGCTCCAGCATCACGGTGCAGCATCACGGTGTGGCTTCACTCTGCTCAGGGCACTGAGGGGAGAAGGGAGCAGCTCCATGTCTGACTGCACAGTATGCAACCAAGGCTGAATTTTCACAAGTCAACGTCGTTTTGACATCAGGAAAATATTATTAATTCTTCCCTGAAAGAGGGATGAGTATTGCTCCAAAGAGAAACGGCTCATTTTACTCAGAACGCCTTTGAAATGATCTCAGACCACTGGATAACTAAAGAACAAGACAGCCTCGTGTATTCCGCTGCGAAAAACAAAATAAATTAAAATACACATTTTATTTTCCAACTTCCCCCCTCGATCAGCAGAGAACAAAAGCAAAGGGTGAGGCAGGCAGGCGGAGCGGCACTCCAAGCTCACCCCAACCCCAGCTGTGTGCCTCACCACCTTACTGCTGCATGGAGCCACGTGGAAGGGCTGCCACCATCAGTGCCCGGAGTGCTCTTCTGCATCTACCCAGCAGCAGCATGGAGTGGTGGCACGACAGCAGACCTTCGTGTTAACGTGTGGGAAGTGCAAAACCAGACGGCACAACGGAGCATTTTGTTTCAGTTCCCATCACTTGGATACATCACATTGAGTTCAGAGGTGTGCGCTTCAAGGCTAAGTGGCATTTAAAAAAAACAAAAACAAAAACAATCCAAAAACACAAAAATTGAACAACAGTTGAACAAAAAAGCAACAGGAGTGAGACCTGAGGAGGACGAGGAAGGCCAGAGGTATCTGATGCAACATCCAGGAACTGGGCAGACACGCCAGTGTCCACAACATCCATAACCCAAAGCTAGAGCAGGAGCTATGAGTTTTCACCCTGGAAACCTGCGATACATGCAGAGTGAAATACATTTCCCGTCCAAAAGATTTGCTCACTACACAAAGTGCCATCAGGACGTTACATTTCCTTGGGAGCCTTCAGATATGTTGAATCCTAGCTCATCAGAGATGCTTCCCCTTGCAGATTATTGCCCCAGTGTTGTGAAAAGGCAAAGTGGTGACGTGGGGGGTGCGCCGTCCCGCAGTGAGTCACACCCTGGTGATGTGCAGATGTGCAGCATTTCATCTTCTGAAAGAAACGTGGCTGGGTATTTCTCCACATGTGGACAGCAGTTCACATTGCACAGCCACTGCAAGCATTGCTGTGAAGGATGAAGCAGCCCTGGGGGCAGGGCTGAGGAGAGGACTCCTTTCCAAACCACACAGAGGCAGGGGACAGCTCACCCTGCACTGGTGCAACAGCATGGTGCTCTCCATGCTCCAAGCTCCAGCCCAGCTTGTGCACTGCCACAGCATCCTCAGTGTGGGGATGGATGCTCCACAAAGGTGGTGATGGATGACCCTGAACAAGATAGCACGGGTAAACGGAGCGATTTCAGAGCAGGTGCTGCCATTCTATGAAATTGGCAGCAGCCTCCTGAATTTCAGATAAATGTGTCTCTCTGATTATCACTAATTCTTTGCTCCGTGCACAACAACTGCCTCGGATGGCTGCTGAAAATGGGACGGGAGCAGAGGTGGAACAGATGCTGAGCAGCACCCAATCACTTGCCCATGCTTCAGAGGAGGACATTCAGCACGTGCCTCATCATGACAAAAGTCAGTTCTGCTTTGTCACAACTCCCTGGTTCGCAATTCGTTGGACGGAATGACTGAAATCAGTGCTCTGAGACGACGTGAGGCAACGGGCATCAGCGCTGCTCCGTGCCCTCGTGCGATGATGAGGTGGGGGGAAAAGTGCTTGCTGCCCACCCCCTCCAACAAGCACCCATCCCAAGTGGGGGTCCTTTAGGAGAGGAGCAGAGCCTGGTGCGTGGCGAGGGGTTCCCCGGTGGGTGCTGGGTGTCAGCTGGGAGCCTTGCTGAGCGCGCTGGCGGAGCGGCGGAGCCTCCCGCAGGCTTTGCTCCCGGCGCTGCGCGGCGCTGAGGTCAGCTCTGCTGGCTCTGCTCCTGCGGGGACGGCGAGGTCGGCGCTGGTGCTGGCGGTGAGGCAGCCTGGAAAAGACAGCGGGCAGGGGAAGGCGGGCTGAGGACAGGGACAAGCTGTGCGTGTCCGCATCCCAACAGCCGCTCTGCAGATACAGAACCTCGGGTCTTTCTGACTACTGCAAGCGGACAACGGATGCCCATCAAGAACCATGCTCACGGGCTTCCTTGTTCAGCACCTCCCCAGAGGCGGTTATGGCTGCAGGTCAGGGCTAATGGCTTGTCTGAATGAGAACAGCTGAGGGGACAGCTATCACGGCTATGGGGCAGTGGATAAAGCTGGAGTGTGTGCAGCTCCTGCCTGGCTCTGGTGCAGACGCGCACGGGGAATACCGACGCATGCTGCAACACAGCGCTGCTCTTGCTGCTGGGGTTTCCACCCATCCCAAGGCATTTCTCGGTGTCAGTGTTATTTCATTAGCTCCCCTGGGCTGCAGTATTTTTAAATCTTGTTGTAACTAAGTCTCTGTGTGTTTTTTCCTGGAGGGGGAGGTACAGTGCTGTGTCCCGGTGCTTGCAAGCCTGGAGCAGTGCTCGGAGCCCAACCTCATGGCTGTGGCCGAGCACCTCTGCGCTCTGATGGCCGTGTGCTGCAGCACAAACCTATTTCCAGCTCAGCAGTGGGCTCTGCCTTCTGTCTACCAGCTCCCAGCCGGGTTTTCTGGCTGTGTTGGAAGTGCAGCAGTATAATGGGACAGCCTGCATGAATCTTGGGACTACTCAGGGCTTGGAAATTCAACAGTGTCCAGCACAGGCTGAGCTTTGTTTTGCTTCCTTACTAAAAGGATTAAATCTTAGGGCCCTGCTCTATCTGACTGTGGGTATTTTGGCGAATAGGCACTCAACCCCGTAATGCTGAGGGCCAAAGCCCACTCTGCTCCTTTGAAATCCCATAGCTGGTTTACAACCTGACGTCGGCATTTCAAATGGAACCTTTCAGTCCCAGATTTATATTTCAAGACAACTGACTGAAAGGGAAATACCACATTAAAAAAAAAAAAAAAAAAGGTGAAAAACATGACTTAATGTGCAAAGGCATTTTCTGTGAAAAATGTGGAGCTGTCAGTTCAGGATTCAAAAGAAAACCTGCGGTGTTGTTCACAGCGTGGGGAGGAGGGGGTGCGAGGGAGGTGTCACACTTTACATTCCTGCAGTCAAGCGGCATGGCAGATGGTCAAAATAATACAGTTTCCCCCAAAAGGACGAGCTGGAGCAATATTCATGCACGCTCCCCACAATGCCTCGCTGTGAGTGAAAGGCTGCAGGCAGGGTTTGGGTCAGGAGCTCCCATCCCCACAGCCCCACGTCCATCCCGCAGCCCCGCAGCCCACAGCCCCGCACATTCCTGCAGTCCCAGCCTTCCCCCGGCGAGTCCTGAGCTGCGCGTGCGGCCTCTGGCTGTGATTGATAGGGAGACAGCAGCTGCAGAGTGAGCGAGAGTTAACCACAAAAGATAAAGGCTTTCATACAAATATTATAATTCCACTTGCAAGCCGTCTGGCACGAACTCTAATTGCTTCGCCTCCTCGCAGGGGAAGCCTGCAAGTTTGTTTGGAGGGCGAGGTGCTGCTAAGGGCCTTTTTGAAGGATTCACCCTTTTTTTTTTTTTTTTTGGTCCTTCTGAGGCTGTGTTTGCTCCAGAGGGTACACAGGCAGTATGGAATTAGAAGTTGTAAGAAGCAACAAGCAGCTTTGCTGGTTGTTAGCTAAAATGGATTTCCTTTTGGCTCGCAGGTGGGTCACCGGAGGGCTTGATCCCTTCCAAATTCACAACTCAAGCAAGCAGGGGGGTCTCAAAGCACGAGGAGCCAGGTGAGATGTGCAGCCCTGCTGTGGGCAGCAGGCAGCCTTAGTGAGAGGCAGAGACAAAGCCCGAACCCAAGGGCAGAGCACAAGGAGGAGGAGGAGGAGGAGAGCGTTAGTGATGGAGCGCGACGCATGGCCTGCGGGAAGCATGGCTCTTACCTGCGGCAATTAGCGTAACGAGACCGTTACATACTCTAATCTAAAGGGAGAGAACACAAAATGGTATCAATATAGGAGCAGTGTACCCACGGTGCACATGGGGCCAGGAGCCAACTGGGGGGACATGGGGACAGAGGGTGACCGAGGTGTGCTGCTGGTCAGGTATGGGGAGGAAATGGTGCCCAAAATGAGTCCTTTTCAGCTTCTGCCAAACGTGCAGATGTGGCAGCCCAGGCATTCAGCCTCCTCTTATTTCAGCAACATTGTTAGTAGATGAAATCTCAAACCAGGTAAGATTTGAGGCTTCTTGGAGGGCTGAACTGCTATTACACTGTGGCCAGGTTAAAAAATCACAGTGTGAACAACATACATACCACCGGGCCATACAAGTGAAAAGTAACTTCTATGTACAAACCCATCCCCTGCACACACACACCATGCACACTAATGGGTGATGGGATGCCTCTGCAAAGAGAGAGTACCACCAGACAGAGTATTTCTCTTTCATGAGCATACGCTGCCAAGAGACACACAGTTCACATCCTGCAAAACGCGGAGGGTCTGAGCTGCCATGGGAGCAGCAGTGGTGTGCTGAGGTTGTGGAGTTCCCCTGCCCTGCAGCCTGGGTGACAGCATGTGAGAAGAAGGGAGGGAGTGCTGTATGTAGGATGGATTTTCCCCCCATGCCTTGCTGACAGGCACCTCTGGGGAGAAACAGTACTTGTGAAGTTCTGCAGAACCCCCCAAGATTAAGTTAGGTTGGTTCAACTGGGAATTTCACCTGGCATCTTTTGATTCTCTGCTATCAAGCAGCAGGAGAGCATTTTACCCAAAGGAAGGATGATGCTTCAGTGTCTGTGGGCTCCAGAGGTGTGAAACATGTTTTGTTAGAGCACACAAGAAGCCATTTACAAGTGGCCAAGCAGGGAACGGTCCAATCCAAACTCAAAGTCTGCAACTGGAGACGATGGGAGGCAAGATCTCAGCATCCCAGCATCCTCTGTGACATCTTGATTTCAGCCCTGCCTCCTTTGCTCAATTTCAGGCAGCACGCTCGTATTGCTGGAACTCAATGCCTGGTACATGCTTGCTGTAAGCAGTATCATGGCACGGCTATTTGCTTTCAGATGTGTATTTCCAAATATTCAGCTCTAAAAATATTCCCTAAAATGATGCACAAGAGTTAGAGAGAACTCAGAGAGATTTTTATTCTGCCCAGCAGGCAGAACTGCCTCAACATCCTACACATCTTCAGGCAAAATGCAAAGACAAGGAATGAAAAAAACAGCAAAGCCCAACCTCGTCAGAAAGAGTCGCTGCTCAACTGGCTTCAAAAATAACCCCAGTACGTACCTGGTTGCATGCTCAGAGTCACCCTACTGGGTTTTCTTTTGCCTCTGTCAAAAATGTGTTTTCTGACCACGTTTGGAATATCCCTGTTGTTTTAAAGTGGGAAACTTAAAGCTCCGCACTGAGCAAAAAGCATTAAAAAACAAATCTTTTTTGTTGTATTCTCCTGTGTTTTCTGCAAGAATTTGGTGCCTATAAAAGCCCAGAGACAAAAGGGAAGCATGTGTTGAATTAGGGAAGGACAACCTGAGGGTTAACCATTGTATAGGAATGTGAGCAAGGAGAGGACAAGATAAGGGTTAACCACTGTATAGGAATGTGAGTAAGGAGAGGACAAGATAAGGGCTAACTATTCTATAAGAATGCAGGTAAGCAAGATGTGAGGCCAGATAAGAAAAGAACATCTCAAAGCTCTATTGTGAACCTGAAGAAACATTACACAAGGAATAGGTCAGGATGGGATTACTTCTATTGAAGACAATGAGCCTTCATCCCATGAGCACCAGAAGGAGACCCCCACTGCCCAGGGCGCACGTGCAAGAGGGAGGGACCATATGCTGATGGTTCTCGGAAATGCAATGAATATGGATAGGAATTCTGGGAAAATCATTGGTTATGTATTAGTTCAGCCTATATCTGTACCAAGCTTTTGCCCTATGTTGGGCAAGATAGAAATATCCCCCTTGCACCCGGTGTCTGCGCAGCACTGATTAAAACATACCTGCTTCATAACCTAACTTTGGGTTGTGGAGTCTGATTCCATGGGTCAATCTGGCACCCCAGATGGGACATCCTCTGCTCAGCTGCTGGACTGGCTGAGAACAGGAATGCCTTTGGCACGCCCAGAGATTTACTGGAATGACTCCCCTTCCTCATCCGATCACTGCGGGAGCAGACAAGGAGCATTGGCGGACCAGGTATGTGAATGGGAATAAGGGGAGCCTGTAAGTCGTGAGATGTCCTACGCAGGGTACAGCTGCTCGTGCTGCCCCTTGGGAGGTGAGCTCACAGCTTAGGTTGCCGGCTGGGGTAGGAAAACTTGGAGAAGTTCCTACAAAGGGGGCCCGTAATGGTCAAATGGTAACGTGGATTTTTGTAATAGTAACAGCAGTAGTCATAGGTTGTATAATTGCTATTACCATCTGTTGTAAATGTTTGGTACCGTGTATCTGAATCAATACCATCGAAATATTTGAGTTTTACTCTGGGGAAATTAGAGCTAAGGAATTTCAAACTCGTATTTTGATTAAGCCGGCGTTGTGTGAATGTGGTGTGGTGAGATGAAGCTAAGCCACGCAGTGAGAGAGGAGTCCTGATCTGTGGTTCCGTGCTCCCACCAGGGAAACGGCCAGAGATGGATGAAGCAAAAAGTTGTTCTCTGTGTCATTTGTTGGTCCATACGTGTTTGTCTGTTTGTATGAAGTTTATAGATTGGGACAGTGATGGGAATTTATAAATTGGGAAGAGGGGCCTGAGAAAAGGTGTGTGTTCCATCTGGAAAATGAGTGTTGCCCCATTTATATTATGTGCTGTCTAGCGTGTGAAGAAATATATCGGGGTTGGTGGTGTCATTCGTGTCCAGAAATTTTAGAGTGGGGAAATTTTAGAGTACGAAGAGTTACTTGGGTTAACCTTATGGCAATAACAAACCAGTGAGACAGCATCATGGGAGGCTCATGGGGAAAGGAAATACCTAAAAGAACACCCCTCAGAGGTATTCTGGCACAGTGGCAAAATATTGCAGGGGGACGTGGGGGCACTCTAAGTAAGAAAACTGATAAAATATTGTAATCAATGGTGGTTACTGTATAAATTGGATGATGGGGAAAAGTGTCCCCTGAACGGGACGCTGAACTACAATACCATTCTGCAACTGATGCTGTTTCTGAGACGGGAAGGTAAATGGGATGAGGCAGCATATGCTGTATGTTTTTTACCCTCAGGAATCATCCTGAGTGGCAAAGAGAATGTGGGATGGGGGCACCACGAGATCCTCTAGTGTTAGCATTAGAAAAGGATCGGCGGGCAGCAGGAAGTAGAGGGATAAAATGCCGTTGCTCCACATGCAGTACAGGACAACAGTGTACTAGATTAACTGAAGTTAAGACTTCTGCTTATTTATTGGACCATTATCAGGCGTCAGGGGCAGGGAGTCCTACCACTGGACAAAGGGACCATTCCGAAAGGGAGGACTCTTCCCCTGAAACTCTCCCAGACTCCCCTATAGCCTCTAGAACTAGGAGGCAATAAAGTGTTCTTTTAGCCCCGCTGAGGGAGGCGGTGGGACCGGATGGGACACGTATCTTAATAAAGGTCCCATTCTCTTCTTTTGATCTGGAAACCTGGAAAAAAGTGGCTAAGGAATATCAAAGTGACTCGGAGGGAGTAACACGGCAGTTTCAGTATTTGATTAAGCAACACAATCCCGACTGGAGTGATATCCAGTTGTTACTAGTCTCCATGACAGAGACAGAAAATGATCTAATTTTGAAAACAGCCCAGAATTTGGCTGGGGATACTTTGCGGGGTGGAAATGTGGACATAAAAGATCATTTCCCTCTGCAGGACTCTCATTGGGACCCACACAGAGGAGCAGAACGAGATCTTTTAGAAGCCTACCGAGGATGGGTGGTAAAAGAGATGGAAAGGGCTATTCCTAAAACAACCAATTGGTCTGCCTTATATGCTATTAGGCAGGGTCCAAAAGAAACCCCCTCAGAATTCCTGGACTGAGGCCCCTACTTTGTGGCCAGAATAGTACAAGTGAGCATGATATTGGGGATTGATTGGCAATTACATACACCTTATCGACCTCAGTTAGGTGGACAAGTAGAGAAAATGAATCATTTGTTAAAATTACAGATAATCAAGCTTGGCCAGGAGGCAGGAATACCCTGGCCCCAAGTGCTGCCTTTGGCTTTATTAAGGATTCGAACAAAATCCCAAACCAAGGAAGGACTAAGTCCACTTGAGATCCTTTATGGGAGACCTCACCCAGTACAAAAAGGAACTTCTGCACAAATAGGGGAGGAACTTCTGAGCAGATATGTAATTAAGTTGCAAAAACAATTAAAGGATATTGAGAAGGTGGTGTTTAATAGCAGGGCACGAGGCCTGGATGGTCTGGTACATAATGTATTGCCTGGAGATTATGTGTATGTTAAATCCCTCTGAGATCCTCCTCTAGAACCAAGGTGGGAAGGACCTTATCAAGTACTCCTAACCATGCACAGGACAATCAAGGTGGAAGGATTGATACCATGGATACATTACACCTGCCTAAAGAAGACTGTCTGACTGCAGTGGACTGTGATGGAAAAAGGACCCCTCTGACTAACAATTAAGAAAAATGTATAAATTATGCGTTTTAATTAACCTTATAAGATTTGCTTTAGCCTGGGAAGGTAATAGCTACCTAAATGTTACTCAGGTAGTAGCCCAAAATTTTAACCTAACAAGTTGTTGGATATGTACGGCCCTCCCCAGAGGGGGGGGGTGTCAGTCTACGGGTTAGTAGCACTTAATTGGACAATTCCAAATTGGGTGGAACATGGGGAATGTAAGTATGGAATAGAGGATAAATTACAAAAGGGCCTGAAGTTCGATCAGTTGATTATTAATTCTTCTAAGTCGATCTTTGTGGATAGGGAAAATGATAGTGAAATTAGTGTGAAAGTCGGGTGGCGAAATTTAACAGGTATAGGATGTAGTTGGGAATATGGGAATTCGGGGACAGTATCAGGACTCAGTGAGACTACAAGGTGGAAGCAGGGCATAGGGTGCGATCCTAGAACAAGTAAAAATTCATCGTGGTCTACAGATAAGAATGTACTTGGGATTGTGGGAATGCGAACATCTTTTACCCAACTAGAGGGTAGGTCTAATCCATGCAGATTACCTTCTGGATACTGGTGGTTATGTTGGGATGAACAGGCACGAAAGGCACTGCGTCCAGATTGGATGGGAACATGCAATTCAGGGTACTTGGTACCTCAGACCATGGTGAATGAGGAAATACCATGGGGACTCTTGAGAACCCTTTGGAGATGGGTGAGAAGAGTAATAAATCCCTTGGTAGAAAAACCAACTGATTTCCACAGCTTTGTGAGATGGCTCATCCCATCTCTGGGAGTAAGTGAGCTGGAATCGTTAATATTTTGGCCACTCTAGAGAGAATGGAGAACGCTACTGCTGATGCAATCAAAGCATTACAAGTTGAGATTTCAATGCTTAGTAAGGTTGTATTACAAAATAGAATGGCGTTGGATCTCCTAACAGCTGAAGAGGGAGGGGTTTGTGTGATAATTAATCAGAGCTGTTGTGCTTACGTAGACAAGACTCAAAGGATAGAGACTGATCTACAGGCAATATGGGAAAACACTAAATTAATTCATCAGGTAATGATGGACAATACCTCATTCGGATTCACAGAATTGTGGGAAAAATTTACCAGCTGGTTACCTAATTTTGCATGGCTAAAGCAACTCTTTCTGGCTTATATTATTATAATCATCTTGCTCATTTTAATGTGTATTGCAATGAGATGTGTATTATGGATATGCAAAACTTCTGGGGATAGTTATGAGAATGGAAAAAGCACAAGCTAAGGCAGAAAGTAGAAAGTGGGAGTTATTTCAAAACTTCCCTTTTCCCGAATGGAGTAATCTAGCAAAAGAATTTGCTAGGTTCAGGAAAAAGGGGGGACTGAGTTAGGAGAGGACAAACTGAGGGTTAACAATTGTATAGGAATGTGAGTAAGGAGAGGACAAGATAAGGGTTAACCACTGTATAGGAATGTGAGTAAGGAGAGGACAAGATAAGGGTTAACTATTGTATAGGAATGCAGGTAAGCAGGATGTGAGGCCAGATAAGAAAAGAACATCTCAAAACTCTATTGTGAACTTGAAGAAACATTGAACAAGGAATGGGTCAGGATGGGATTACTTCTGGTGAAGACAATGAGCCTTCATCCCATGAGCACCAGAAGGATAGGAATTCTGGGAAAATCATTGGTTATGTATTAGTTCTTGGTACAGATTAGGCCTATATCTGTACCAAGCTTTTGCCCTACATTGGGCAAGATAGGCAGAAATATCCCCTTTGAACCCGGTTCCTGCGCAGCACTGATTAAAACATACCTGCTTCATAATCTGACTCTGGGTTGTGGAGTCTGATTCCACGAGTCAGAATGAAAAAAACAGCAAAGCCCAACCTCGTCAGAAAGAGTCGCTGCTCAACTAGCTTCAGAAATAACCCCAGTACGTACCTGGTTGCATGCTCAGAGTAACCCTACTGGGTTTTCTTTTGCCTCTGTCAAAAATGTGTTTTCTGACCACGTTTGGAATATCCCTGTTGTTTTAAAGTGGGAAACGTAAAGCTCCGCACTGAGCAAAAAGCATTAAAAAACAAATCTTTTTTGTTGTATTCTCCTGTGTTTTCTGCAAGAATTTGGTGCCTATAAAAGCCCAGAGACAAAAGGGAAGCATGTGTCACCTTCTCAACAAAAAGGCTGCAAAATCTCAGTTTTATGTAAATAAGCACACGCTGCTCCCAGGGCTTTAAAACCGGGGAATGCTGAAAACGTCTATAGTTCCTCAACTCAAGTGTTGCTCCTGGGCAATACTATAATATTCATTAAAGAACTCATTTATCAACAGATACCACATGTCAGAGTTTTCCAGCACGGCTTCCTGACACTGCTCTGAAAATGATGCTTAAGAGACAAAACCTGAAATGGAAAGCGATAATCCGGGATTCTTTTGCCTGCTGTTTGGCCCCACAGTAGTGATTAGCAACTAAAAAAGTAAAGATTTACACTATATCCTTTCTGATAACGTCGAGCGTTATGCTTTATTTTCCAAATCATTAGCATGCACAAGAATGACCTCATGGTGAACAGATGCACTTGGATATGGCAGTGATTAGATCAGTCCTCTCAGCAGTCAAGTGTGCCCATTTCAATTAACCCTTTGAAGCACCAACTGCAAGCCCACGGTGCTGAAAAGCAGGGCTGGAGGTTCTCTCCAAAACAGAAATCTGCCCTTGCGAGCCTAACAATGCTGAGTATGAGGGTTTCTCTGGTCAAAGGGCTATTTCTTTTCCTTTCCAGAACGTCCACCTATTTCCATTTTTTAAGAGTTAACACAGTTCTGGATCCCAGTCTCAAATGAACAAAGCCACTGCTTTTTAGCCACCAGAGGTAATTGAAGTTGGAACGTTTTGTATCTGTTTGCACCTGTTCAGTTTTTATTCCTTTTTAAAGCATACGCAAGCATTTCGCTGAATAATTGTTTTCCTTTTTTTTTTTTTGGCTGAGGGAGCAAGAACAGAAAAAGATAGCAGCTTAAAAACCCATCCTTTAAAAGGAGAGAAATCTGCAGAGGGAAAGGATAAGAATAATTCAGTAGTGTTGGATTACTGAGGATTTCCTGGGCTGCCTCTCATACCCAGCCTAATTAAAATACAGCATGTAATGTACCAGTTTAACAACAAAGGACTGTATTCTCATCTTTTGTTCCTAATCTGCACATCCCCTAAATGAGTTCAGGGACGCCCGTTCTGCCCACCAGCCTGCATGTGCAGCGTATAAGAAGGACAGGGCTATCTGTGATACGTAGAGGGACTTTAAAGCTCTGTTCCTGAAAACAGCAAGGGAGCTATTTTCGTGCATACAGCCAAGCACCTGCAGGATTATGTGTGATATGGGAGGCTAAGCAAACGCGTGTTTTAAGAAGCCCGCGTCCCGTCTGAACCTAGGGGAGGCATCCCTGGAGACAGCCTCAGGAAACAGAAAAGCAGCTCAGTCAAGGAACACTACAAAAACACGTGGCATTAACAGCCACATATTCAATTCATATAATCGCTTTGGTTTCCTTCTTGTACTGCACTGACTGCTTAAACCAATTTTAATTTTAATAAACGTGTACTTGCTGACCCTTTTTATCGTGCAGGAGTACAGGCAGTGATGGCAGGATTAGAAAGAAGTGGCACTCAGAATGAGATCAGAGAAGAAATAACCTTAAAATTGACCCTAAAAGTTTAAAAGATAGGCAGGGCTGGCAGTTTCAGCTGGGAGAAAGAGAGCAAACCCAGCCCTGTGCCAGCTCCATACACACACTCCTCCACCAGCCACTTCTTCCCTCTTCCCTCACTTCACTTGCACAGCCATTCCCCTCGGCCATCCCACCAGCACGTCGCTTTGCAGCCCTGTCTGATCACTGACGGGGTGAAGAGTTGGCTGCAAATGTATCCAGACTTCACCTGGGTTGCTTCTGGATTTCAAAGGAAACATACCCTGGTTTAAGGAAAGATCAAAGCATGCCTCGTCCTCTGCTAGACAAAGTGTCAGCCTTGTGCGTGGAGCTCAGAGTGGGAAACAAAGCAGAAAGTACTCAGTATTACAGGGTGCTGCTGGGGCTCTGTTCTCAGGTGTTTCCCAGCTCTGAGAGTGCCAGGGCCATACTGAGAGTCAGCAAGCTACAGGTTACCCTCCTCTGGATGCTGGTGGCACACCTGTTAGCACCCACAAAGAACACGCCTGGCTGGGTGTCCTGCCCATGGGGAGCCTCCACTGCCTCCAGGCTGACTGAAGTGTGTCATGGTCAGTGCTTGGTGTAACCATGCACTATGTAACTATCTTCAGGGCAGCTACCAACACAACTCTTAGTGACACTCAACTAAATATGCATGTAAACGAGCAGACAATTTGGGCAGACTCCTTCAAAGAGAGCACACCCTGAGGCATGGATTCACATCCTTGCCAGGACTCGTCCCATTACGAAAACACTATTTTTACACACCAGTGGAGCTATTCTGGACTCATTCTTGCCCCACAATCACTTACAGAGCCCATAGGAGAGGAACACTGGGTTGCTGTGTGAAGCTTCCTGCACGGTCCCTGGCTGCAGCCTGGACTGTGGCTGTTTATCCTTGCCCATCACTGGCCAAGAAGGAATTAGGAGACCGATAACCTGGCACCAGGTGGAGATTTTGACCCCAAAAATCACAACCAGACTCTGGCTTCTCCAATGGGAAGAAAACCCTAACATTTGGAGCCTGTATATCAGGACCCGAGAGTGGCAGGTCATAAAAACATAAACTCATGACATCATAAACTGATGTCCAAGTACTAATTATCTAACAGTGTTCTGAGAAACGTAAGCGGACATCAGCAAAGTAATTTTGCATATCAGATACATCACCTAATTCAGAAAGCGTGACTACTGCATTATCAAATGAATCTGTCCTTGCCTGCCCAACTAAATTTCACCAGAGAAAGATCTCTGCGTGCTGTGAGAGAAAGTGAGAAACAGAGCAACGCACCTAAAATATACTGAGGTGTCTACTTCTTTTCCTGATGCGTCAACAGACAAATGATTCAAAGTGCTAACAACACTGGGCACGAAATCTACATTTCTATTGAAACTGATAATTTCTTTTTGTCTCAGACTTTTGGCACAGCGTATAAAAGAATTTAATTCACAGCTGTTCTACTTTTTAATGTAGAAAACATTAATCAAAGCTTTAAGTTATAAGCTTTTCTAATGTTGTTTAGTATTCCAGTTCAACAAAGATCAATAGAGGCCATTCCTGTGTTTCTTGACGCCTCTCCAGGAAGCAGAGGCGCGATTATGTAAATAGCACTGGCTCCCCTTTACTTCTGCCAGCTTGCTTATCTCCAAAGCCTTCTGCCTGCTGCTACTGGCGACCAATGCAAGGACATGCATATACCTCTTATCTCCCAACAAAGCTCTGAAAACGCACGGATTGGAGCCAGTAATGTTAAACAATGATGCACGGCTGATTTTATTGGTAACTGATTTATTTTAGGAAATCTAATTTCTTCCTTCAATTTTTTTTCAGTTTAGATGGGAGATATTTGCTAACAAGTCAGGCGAGAGAGAAATAGAGCAGATGTTCTTCAACATTTATACAGGTCTGAAATAATCTATTAAACAACCCGAAAGTGTAGTGGGAAATAATTAGCAAGTGCCAGTTTCACCCAAGGAGTGTAAAAAGAGGATTAAGGAATCTTTGTTCAAGAATCCAACAGGCAGTGACCATACACATCTTGAGGTTGGAAAAGCAAATCTTGAGGGCACTGGAAATCTGCATTTTAGAATCAATGTTTCCTTTGAAGACACATTTATTTAAACTTAATTAAAACAGCGAAGTTTGGCTCTTTGGATTTTGCATGCTAACTTAAGATCTCAATGGGACACGTAAGGAATAAATTCACACAGGCATTAAACGTTCATCTTTCAATGGGGCTGATGAATGGTTGCCAGCATAAAGGTGTGTATACACACACATGCGGAATTATCCATACCTAACATATTAAAATGAAAGAACTGAACAGGTTCCAGGCCAGGTGCTGGAAGAAAGCCTGCAATTTGCTCATATGTATTGAAGGCAAATGCTAGCGTTCTGCACACGGCTATGATTTTCCAACGGAACACCATTCTTACATTTCTTTTTCATTAATCCCTGACCCTGGTATCTCAGCAGCATAATCCCCATTTAGCATTAGTAGCAACGGCTTCTACTGCGAGGAACTATTTTTCGATAAGTAAGCACCGATTCAGGCAAAGCTTTTGAACAGCATATTCCCAGCTCAGCAAGAAACCTGCACTCCTGAATGAACCGGAGCACATTACTGAGAGAAAGTTCATTAACCTTGCTAGATTCGAGGGTTAACAGGATAGCTGAAGAAAGGAACAGAGTGAATAGCTCTGATGCAAAACAAATTAAAATGAATGTCATCATTCCTTTTGATATTCATTAGTTGATTCAGGGGAAGAATGGTGTTCTTAAATTTGCAAGCATTTATCTACAAAAAACAGGTGTACATCTGCTGCTCAAGTGCTTCTTAGTGCGAAAGAGAAGAATAACGTGCAGAGACTCACCAGTTCCACCCAGGGAGTAGCTGGGAGAGGGAGAAAAGACCTGAGCGGCAAAATCCTCAAATGTCATTACTTCTTTGTGGTTCTGGATTATTGCTTCAAGATACAGAGCTCTTTCCTCGTAGCTGCAACAGCCAGGTTAAGGAACTGTGTGCACAGAATAAAATGCTGTTACGTGACGTGCAAACCCACTGAAACACTAACAAAGCCACACACTGGCATAGAGGACCCGAGCTGCACTACACTGCTTAACGCTGCTAAACGCAAGCAGCCTCCTTGCTTGAAATTACAGATGATACTTTTAGCTTCATCAGTGAAAAGGAGCAGCTTGGTAGGTCCGGTGAGATGCTGCAGTTACCAAAGAGTGAAACCTCAGCTTCCCCAGTGCAGGCTTTTTGAAACCACAACCCAACTTTAAGAGAAATTAGCCGTACTGGAAGTTCGTATTCCTGTTAAAATAACCCTGTCAGACTAGAAGAAATGATCAGAAGGGGAGGAAAGCTGCAGGATAGAGGAGAAAAAAAACCCCATGTTTATTCGATCATTATGCGTTTAAAAGAAATTAACAGTAAGCGACACAAATCCCCAGGGCGCGAAGTTGATATTTAAGGCAGATGTAGTATTATGTATCCTAAATGAACGACACGGATTGAAAAAAAAAACACAAAACAACCACACACAAAAAAAACTTGCACGCGTTATTGTCTGCATAATGCAGACCACAAAGCAATCTAAAATCAAGACTATTGCCTTTTAATTAAAACTCGGCAACCTGGAACACACAGCATTCAAATGTGTAATCAAAAACCAGTCACCAATAAAACTTACAAGCGTAACAAGCTGAAGCAACTTTCCAGCTGTCTTAATAGGACCCCTGCTTGCGGCAGCTTTTCAGAGCGGAGAAAGCAAATCTTTTCCTTTTGTGTGCAGCTTCTGTTTTCTCAGAAGGTGAATCATACACTTCCAATAACGGGATAACGCCTGAAACAAACCTACAATGGGCTGAAGAACCTCACGTATGACTTTATGAATTAGCGCTCGCAGGCGCCCGTATGACATCTCATTCTCCGTTTCCTCATTTAAAACAAAAGTTTTCAGATCCCCATTGTGTTTCTGTTGTGTGGAAATGCATTACGAGTTTGCAAGGGCTGCTACGGGGGGAGAAAAGGGCAATTTAAATTTAGAAACGAGGAGCGTACAGTGGAACGCCAGCGACAACATAACGCAGGTGAGGGTATTTAGAACTGAAAAGCATTACTAATTAATACTGAAGTGCCATTTGCGACTTTCATTGTGTTAACAAAAATGCTTTGAAATGGCTTTAAAAAAAATAAATAAAATTGGAGCACTTAGAAATGGGAGGCGGTGGCCGTAGTGTTGTGCCTCACTGGGGGGAGCGATGGCGTGCCAGTTGATAGAGCCGCTGCGACGGCAAAAAAAGGAAACAACGGCAGCGCTGGCTCTCATGCTAGTGGAGAAGGGCAGATATGCAATAAATCTTCTTACAAACTTCCCGTGGAAGCCCGGAGAAAGAGAATCAATAGATGCCGTTTCAGAGCGTGCACCTGCTGACAGCGTTATTTGTTTAGCGGTGCTCCCTTTTCTCCCCTAAGCCCAGGAGAACGCATTCCTGATAGCGCAAGCATTAGCCCGCCTGCATTCGGGGCTGCCTCCCTATTATGGGCTGAACTCCTGATGACTCTTGTTAATGAATAGGCTGCCAAACTTCCTCGGAGAGGAGGCACACGCCTGGGCCCTATTCTAAAGGGACTGACGGATGCCATTCACTTCTCATTACGAAGATGCTTATTCCGCGGCGCGCTCGGCTGTTGCCAGGGCCGTGCGGCGCACGCTCGGGCTGTCAGCGGGACGCGCAGGCCGCACGGCCGTCTGGCCAGCAGCCCCTCCGCCGCGGAGCTGGCACGTGCGGGCGCAGCGGGGAGGGAGCGAGGCGTGACAAATCGCTGAAAGGCTCCGGCCAAACCGACGGCTGCCGGCCACCTGAGCCCGCCGCCCCGCCGTCCGCAACGCCCGGCCTGCCGTGCGCCCTGCGGCCTGCTCCGGGCCGCGCTTCCAGCCGGGAGGGGAGGACGGGAAGGCTCTCTGCGCTGCGCCTAATGACGTCCCGCTGCCTAATGAAAGGCCTCGCACGTCGAGCACATAAGCCTGCAATGCGCCGAACAACTGCTGACACACCGTGACTTTGTACCGGTTTCCCTGAATACCGTGTGGAAAAACAGAGGGTTTCGGTGATGCTCGGGGCATGTCTCTTAGAGCCCATAAAAAGCAAAGGATCGTAGCCATTCAGATGGGCAACCGCAAGAGAAGCACTCAAACTCACCACTGGGAGCTGGGTACACCAGCACCCACAGCCACACAGACTCAATGCACCCCCTCATCACCATCCCTCGCAGCTCAGCATCCTCCAGGTGACCAAGCAGGACAGCAGCCAGCTCTAATTTTACCTAACTTCAGGAGTTTTCGTCAGGGACATCACAAGCTCTGAAAGGAAAATTGCTACTTCACTATTTCAGCGTCATTACATTAGGTGGCTGTCAGATACACTGGAGCTCCAAAGGATGGAGCTCCATAGTACCTGGAAATTCCTTGTTAAGCAATGGAACAGGCTCCACAGGGAGGTGGTTGAGTCACCATCCCTGGACGTGTTTAAAAACCATTTGGATGTGGTGCTCAGGGACATCATTTAGCAGACAGACATTAACAGTTAGGGTAGTTTGGTTAGGTTGCTCGATGATCTTTAAGGTCTTTTCCAACCTGAGCAATTCTATGATTCTAATGCATTCTGGGAATCCAAGAGCATCCGAAGAATGCCAGTACAAGGTGGATGAGGAGAAGAAGGCTTGGAGATCAGCAATCTGTGGCTGTTTGTACCACAACAGTCTGAAACAGTCCCTAAAACGTCAGTCTCAAGAAGCTTCCTCTCCATCACCATGTAAGCCTGACTCCCTCATGGTAACTGCTAGCACCGTGATGCTAAGATTGCAGCCACTGCACTTTTGTTGCACCTTCACCCTGAAGGACCAGGGACCTGATTTTACTTACTTAAACACACTGGAAGATTAAACCGGATCTGTTCAACGCGAAATTCATGTCACAGCTTTGCAGTGAGCACATGATGTAAAGCTGCCCCCCAACATGAAGCCCGGCCATATTATTCAGATGAAACCAATGCTTGCACAGTGCTGTATAAACTACTATTTACTAAAAAAAATGCTTTGCATGTATCAGCAACCCAACCTTCACAGCTCATTGCTATGCCACGGGTTGAGCGGGGCCAAGAGAAAGCCTAAAGTGCCTGGCTGGCGGTGCTGCAAAAGCCTCAAGGCCAGACTGCTGAAGTGAAGCATGCAAATCATTTCTGGGGATGGCCTGGCTGCAGAGATGGGTTATGATCTTGAACCCTACACTGCTGAAGGAGCTGGACAGCTGGCTTCCCTGATTAACTAAGCCCCCATTTATCTGAAGGTTTTGGGTGTCCCTTGAGATCTCCAGATAAATGGGGTTATACCAGACATTCAAAGAAGCTGATCAAAAGCAGCCTCTTTTAATATGTATGGCAATTTGACCCATCTCTTACACGATTGCATTATTTTACATTTTACTTCTACCACGACAAACTCCAGAGCAAAATGCTTTCAATAGGCACAAACACTTCCATTTATTTATATTCATACACTGAATGGCACAGAGAGCCACAAGAAGGCACACATGGCCATAAATATATATGAATGCGTGACAGCAGGAATTTATCTCCAATTTGAATATGGCAAATCTCAGTATTTGACCATTATGAGTTTTTATAAATATTTTATCACCCGATCAGTTATTTTAACCATTCAGGCGTATAATGCAAGCTGTGTGACAGAAGAACCTCCACAGTCCTTGTTGTCTATGTTCAGTAGATGAACAGAGCCAACTTGAGGTCCAGACCTGTTCAACATCTCTTTCTCTGGACACACACGTCCTGTTGTATCATAAAGGTGCATTTAGAAACAAGGAATGCAGAAAATAATTACTCAAATAGATCCTGAAAATACAAAAACCTAAACTCTGTGCTGACCTCAAGGAAAAATATGAGGTACTGATCACTACTGACAGCAGTGGCCAGCAATTCCTTCTTTACACCATTTTTGGAGAACAAAATCATTTTGGTAACATTCTCATATTGCTAATCTATGGGAAGAATCACGTATTTTGTTGTCATAGCACTCTTTTCATGCAAACAAAAGCCAAAATGCTTAGTGGGTTCTGAACAGGCAAAGTGAGAACTGCTGGGCGACCCTTCACAGCTTGCTGTTTTGTGGTGTGCCAGTGCCAAGGGGCTCCATCCCACACCAGGACCCAACGGCTGCACGAGGAGCACATGCTAACACGACTGTTCCTCTGGCTCCAGAGGGATTGTTAATGCCGACTATTGGCATGAACTGATTGCAATTCCCATCTGTGATGCAAATCCTACCCCGAGAAGGGCTTTCAGGGCATCTGGCCAGTGGAGAAGCTGGAAGGATAGAAGCAGACAGCTCTTTCCAGCCCATCAAGACTACATGCATGACCACATGTCAATTCCTACTTCCAACCACACAGGGAGACTTGAAGGAAAGAGAAATTCTTGGAATGTTCTTCTTAAATGCAAGAAGTACATTTCTCAAATCTCCCCAGGGGCTTCCAGCTTCACGGATGCTCATACAGGTGACTACACAGGTATTGTGCAGGCAACACTCAGAAAATCCATTTTGCAAATAGTTTTCTAAGGCTGAGGAAGGTGCTGGAGTAAGCTTCTGTTTTACTGTCCATCCTTTTAAGATTTCAGTACCAAAGAACTACAGATAAGTATTTCTCTCACTGTCACTTTTATTTCAATATCCTCTTAATTTGCACCATGAGAACCAAATATGGTTTCATAAAAAGGTTTTCTTCCTGCCACAATGACAGCAGTTTGAAAAACAAGCACCAATATAAATGTTTGGGACTTACCAAGGCAGAACAGAAGAGGGGCCATAAAATTGAAGCTAACAAATGTGGTGGTAAGATGACCTTTATATGCCTAATTGTTCTCCTCACAGCTCTGGATACTACAGAGCTACCATGCTTTTAATGTGCTGTG